GCCTTTGAAAGATGTGACCAGTGTTAAAGTAGAACCTCCCTCTGAAGTCCTCTGATTTCCAGCGGCACTCTCACGGAAACAGCAAGTTTCTTGCTCTGTTTCAAGCACCACTTTCTTAAGGGTCGCAATTGGTCAGACCACTTCAGGACTTCCTCCTGGGAAAGAGTGGACCTTTCAATGTCTACCCTGGTACATGGGTAGAACCCTGTATCCACTGGGAAAACTAGACTATTTCTGTAGTTCATTAAAAATAACAAAGACAGGGAAGAAGAAGAGAATGATGGAAAAACAAGTTGAGTGGGGTGAGCCAAGTTGGGACAGGATGTCTAACTGACATGGAAGTAACAATCTGCAGATGTTGGTGTGTTTGATGACGTGGGGGAGGTTAATGCTGTCCTGATCATTTTTAGGAAGATATTTTATTGCTTTCACTTAGTCGCTTTGTATTTATATCTGCTCTCATTTATCTTAAAATACATTTTCGGTATAATCTCCATAGGTTAATATTAGCAATCTTAAGCAATTTAGTGCAGTTAGAAAATGGATTAGGCATTCCAGTTCTACTGTACCTACTCCTGACCCATTTAATTGCACTATCTTTGACAACTGGCCTTTTGATCCTTAGATTCTCCATATGTAAAATGAGTATAATTTAGTAATTCCTGCTACACATTTAACTCTGGGTAAGTTCTGGAGAAACTCCAAGAGCTCTAGGAATGCAGCATCTATAGATTTAACATTAGAAATTATTATGTACTTACTTTGCAGGGTTTGAAGTATTTTTGCTCATTGTTACTTATCTCCACAGCTTCCTTAGAGGCAGAGGTAGGTACCGTGGTGATTGGTTTTTTAATGCAGAGAAACTGAAGGAGGCATAGAGGAGTGAAGCAGTTTGCAATTCCTTAATAAATGAGAGATGAAATTTGTTATTTCCTAATTCTAAAAATGTACAATATGTTAGTATGTTTGTTGGGTGATGCTGTCTTTCTACTTTGGTGTTAGACATTTTGATTCTGACACAGTCGTTAATGAGCTGTGCTAATTCTAAAACTGGATCAAATATGCTGACATCGCTCTTTTGATTAGACCATCTTGCTTTCAATTTCACAAAATCATAAATCAAATATCTTTCTAAATAAAACTGGGTGATTTGAATACAACATGGCAATACTTCTTGCTTTTTCATTCCTTAATGAACTCCTAAGTATAAATGCCACTTAAATTCATTTTGAGAAAAGTCAGGAAAAATATCATGCACAAAATTTATGAATATCTACCCAGTTTGATAAAAATAAATAGAAGTTGAGTGTTGCTATAGTTTTGTGATATTTTCTTTATTATAGCCACATCATTGTTGAGTTCCCACCTATTTTTTTCTAATATGAG